AAAAGATACTCTTTACTCTGAAACAAAAACAGAAACAAAGACTTATGATAGACCTTGTTTCTGCCTGTGGTCATGTAGTCACTCCTCCCACTACCCATTTCATACTCCCTTTCTCCTCAGCAAGCACCTTCCCTGGCGACAGACATTTTCCTAGTGGGGTGACTCAAACCTCCATTCTTGAGGTTCATGGCCATAGGCAGTCCTGACTGAATTAGGCTGTTGTAGTTTCCATTGACTTTCATCGCTGGACACAGGAGTACTAAGAGGTGCTCTGTAGGATCTTCTGAATTTCAGACATATCCCTCCTTAATCCCATGATGATTGAAGGGTTGTGCCTCAATCAACTTGCAGACTAGACTAGTTTATAGACCTAAAACCTCATGAATTAAGACAAGGCCTCTTGGGCTGGGCGCGGTGGCTCAAGCCTGTAATCCCAGCACTTTGGGAGGCTGAGGCAGGTGGATCACGAGGTCAAGAGATCGAGACCATCTAGGTCAACATGGTGAAACCCTGTCTCTACTAAACATACAAAAAATTAGCTGGGCATGGAGGCGCGTGCCTGTAATCCCAGCTACTCAAGAGGCTGAGGCAGGAGAATTGCCTGAACCCAGGAGGCGGAGGTTGCAATGAGCCAAGATTGCACCAATGCACTCCAGCCTGGGTAACAAGAGCGAAACTCCGTCTCAAAAAAAAAAAAAAAAACACAAAACACAAGGCCTCTTGAGGAGGGAGCTTTCTAGACTCAAAAAGTTTTATAAATCTTTCTATTATAGCAACACGTGCACATGTATGTTTATTGTGGCAATGTTCACAATGGCAAAGACTTGGAACCAACCCAAATGCCCATCAATGATAGACTGGATAAAGAAAATGTGGCACATATACACCATGGAATACTATGCATCCATAAAAAGGATGAGTTCATGTTCATTGCAGGGACATGGATAAAATTGGAAACCATCATTCCCAGCAAACTGACACAAGAACAGAAAACCGAACACCGCATGTTCTCACTCATAAGTGGGTGTTGAACAACGAGGACACATGGACACAGGGAGGGAAATATCACACACCAGGGCCTATCAGGGGGTAGGGGGCTAGGGGAGCGATGGCAGAGGGTGGGGGCATAAGAGAAGGATAGCATTGGGAGAAATATCTAATGTAGATGACAGGTGATGGATGCAGCAAACCACCATGGCATGTGTATACCTATGTAACAAACCTGCACGCTCTGCACAAGAACCCCAGAACTTCAAGTATAATTTTAAAAAGTTTATACCATTACCCTTTCTCACATTCTTACTCTAAGAAGGCCCATAGCCCTTCACTAAGGAAGGTTAAAGTATATGGGAAAGAGAAATTACTAGATTTCTCAATGATTACAGCACCCCACTTCTGAATTGACACGAATTTCTTGAAGACACAAACATCATTCTGACCCTTTTGAAACATATTTGATTTATTAGTGACCCTTGATCATGGATGCCAAATTATAATGCTACTTAGAGAAGCCTGTCTTATCCTAGGTGCTTTCTGACCCACCAAGTTACAGCAATGGATATGCATAGAAGCACCCCATTATTAAATGGAAGTGGTATGTAGAAGATCAAGCAGGTCCTCAAGGCGAAAGTAAGTTCCATGATGAAGTGACCAAAATGCCTCATGGATCGTAATCCTGGGACACAACTTTCTCCATCTACCATTGGGAGAATTATAAACCGGTCTCCATCAATTTCACTCTCTTAGGATGTTACGTAGCATGACAAAAGCGATTTTGCAGATGTAATTAAGGTTACTTATCTGTTAGTCTAAATATTGAGGAATTCTCTAGGTTGGCCTAACCTACACACATGAGCCCTTAAAAGCAGAGCTTTTTCTCCAGCTGGTAGCATAAGAGGATGAGATAGTTACGAAGAATGGGGAGAATTTGACATGCTGATGCTGGCTTGAAGTTAGGGAAGGGACCACATGAAAACACCTGATGAGCATCTTTATGAGTTGAGAGTGAGCCCAAGCTCACAGCCTGCCAGAATCAAGGATTTCGGTTCTGCGCAGCAGCAAGGAATTGGATTCTGTCAATAATCTGAATGGATTTGGAATTGCATTCCACCCCTTATGTTTTAGATGAGAACACTGACGCACAAAATTTTGATTTTGGGCTTTTGAGATCTGAAGTAGAGAACAAAGTCAAGACCTCCCAGATTTCTGAACTGCAGAGCTGTGAGATAATAAATATAATAATTTGGTGTTGCTTTCAGCCATTAAGTTTGGTGTAGTTTGTCACAGGGCAATAAAACTAATACATTCTCTCAATCTGTACCTATATACCCATGGGGAGTACACTATAACCAGCTGCTTGAAGAAACAGTACCTCAGGGCTAGTTTACCAATAGAGGTGAATGATATGCAGGCACCACCTATATTAGTTTTCATACAGGGAAAAAAGAGAGAGAACATAAATTAATTACAATATTATTTGTTGGGTTTATAGTTAGGTTAAAATTTAACATATAGGAAAAGACAACTGGAATCATGGAGGAAAGACCAGTGAAAATACACTCCTTCATTTAAAAAAAAGTGTCAAATATTGTCAACATAAAGATTATTCGAATTCCGGGAATTAACCATAGACTTCCAACAATCTGAAGACTATTTATTCAAGAAAAATGGCTAAATCACACTACAAACCATAAGCTTTGTGGTGTTTTAACTTGCACTATTCCCACATGCTCCTCCGTTGCTCCACGGTAGCCTTGAAACAAACATCATCACAACTCCGATAGCTCTGAATACCAGCAAACTATCAGCCACTGCAGAGGGCTACTGGTTGGAGTTCTCCTAAAATCTCTATTTCCAGGCAATCATCACTATTTATACTAATATTGTTATTATTTTGAGACAGGCTCTCCCTCTGTCTCCAAGGCTGAATGGCAGTGGTGCAATCATGGCTCACTCCACCTCGACGTCGTGGGTTCAAGTGATCCTCCTGCCTCATCCACCTGAGTAGCTTAAACTACAGGCATGAGCCACTGCAGCCAGCCTAATCACCATTATTTAGCGTGCCAGAGCTTTTGGGCAGGCACCCCAGGACTCAAGATAAGGGCAGCCACCAGAGCCACCTCCAACTGCCACAGTCCAAGGCAATGGCTGGGTGGCTGTCCATTCTACCAAGGTTCTTTCCTTTCAGCATTAGTTGGTAGTACCCCAAAGAGTTTCCAGGTAACGACCCCAGACATTTCCTAAGGTACCTGAAGAAGAATGCAGCGTTGAAGATGGGGTGCTTGACGCTAAGAATCCCGACTCCTTTGGCCATATCAAATGACTTTGATGTTGTAATTTGCATTTGTGTGGGAAAGGGTCAAAATACTTCAGGGGTAGACTGGCAGTCGATTTTTCTAGAGAACAATCACTACTTTACCTCATACTTTTACCTTAAAAAAGATGTGGCTATCAGAGTGGCAAGAGTTCCCTGAATGTGATGTTCTCTTTCTAAGGACTTAGATTGCCACCTGCAGTTTCTACAGCACTGCTGATGAAGTACATATAAAAACTTGGAAAAGAAAGGAAATTAGTATATGGAAGAGGTATCTGTACCCCCATGTGTGTTGCAGCATTATTCGTAGTAACTAAGACTTGGAAGCAGCCTAAATGTCTTCCAACAGATGAATGGATAAAGAAAACGTGGTACATATACACAATGGAGTACTACTATTCAGCCATTAAAAAGTATGAGATCCCATCATTCGCAACAACATGGATGGGACTGGAGGTCATTACGTTAAGTGAAATAAGCCAGGCAAAGAAAGACAAACTTCACATTTTCTCACTCCTTTGTGGGAGCTAAAAATTAAAGCCACTTAACTCATGGAGATAGAGCATAGAAGGATGGTTACTTGATGCAGAGAAGAGCAATGCGGGTATTGGGGGAAGTGGGGATGGCTCGTGGGTACAAAAATATAGTTAAGTAGAATGAATAAGATGTAGCATTTGATAGCACAACAGGGTGACCCACAGTCACTAATTTATTGTATATTTTAAAATCACTAAAAGAGTTTAATTGGATTGTTTGTAACACAAAGAAAGGATAAATGGTTGAGGTGATGGAAACCCTATTTACCCTGACATGATTATTACACATTGTGTGCTTTATCAAAGTATCTCATGTAATCCATAAATATATGCACCTACTATGTACTGACAAAAACTAAAAATGAAAAAACCCTGGAAATCCACAGAACACAATATGGGTCTAGCCTTCACCTGGGATGCCAATTAGAAGTGGATTGAATGCAATTGGATGCACAGACATTTTCTCTTCTGCTGGTGATTATAACTAGGACTGAACTCTTCAATATTTGTACCTTGGCTTCCAAAATTCTGGAAACGCTAGTTCCTCAAGTTCCTAGGGTTATTCATTCTGGAGACTCTAGTATGCACTGCAAGAAAACCTGCAGGACATCTACTGGAGTGCCCAATGGAGCCACTCTTCAATAACAAGTGCTACACGTTTCCAAAAACTCTAAATATCAGTGAAAAGTTTAGGATGGCAGCCATTTCGCCACCCAGGACAATTGGAGAATGGCAGATATTAGGGATCATTAACTCTGTCAAAGCTGTAGAAGACCGCAGTGAAGAATCACAGTTACAGAACCAAGAGTCACGGCCTTCTATTTTGGATGTTTGTACAACAAAGAGGATATACAATTAATCAAAGGGTCGAGGAACAGGTTTCTGCTTTAATACAAAAAAACTAACATAGAAACCTGTAAAGGTGTCCAAGTATAGTAATCCTTTTCATGTATATCTGGTTACAATTTAAAACTGAAGCTTTTTTAAACGTTTAAAAATCATAGATGAGGAGGGGTACATGTACAGCTTTCTCACATGGGTATAATTGCACAATGCTGGGGTTTGGGCTTCTAGCGAACCCATCACTCAAATAGTGAACAGAGTATCCAATAGGTAGTTTTTCAACCCTCTGACCTGCTCCCTCCCTCCCCTCCTCCTTCCTTTTGGAGCCCTCAGAGTCAATGGTTTCTAGCTTTATGTTCATGCCTACCTACTGTTTAGTTCCCACATATGAATGAGAACATGCAGTATCTCATTTTTTGCCAGACACATTGGCTCACGCCTGTAATCCCAGGATTTGGGAGGCAGAAGTGGGCGGATCACTTGAGGTCAGGAGTTCCAGACAAGGCTGGCCAACATGGCAAAACCCTGTCTCTAACAAAACTACAAAAATTAGCCAGGGCGCGGCATGGTGACATGCACCTGCAGCCATAGCACTTTGGGAAGCTGAGGTGGGTGGATCACTTGAGGTCAGAAGTTGGAGACCAGCCTGGGCAACATGGTGAAACCCTGTCACTACTAAGAAATACAAACAGGCCAGGTGCTGTGGCTCACACCTGTAATCCCAGCACTTTGGGAGGCTGAGGTGGGCAGATCACGAGGTCAGGAGTTCGAGACCAGCCTGGCCAACATAGTGAAAACCCTTCTCTACTAAAAATACCAAAATTAGCCAGGCATGTGGTATACACCTGCAGTCCCAGCTACTAGAGAGGCTGAAGCAGGAGAAGCACTTGAACCCAGGAGGCGGAGCTTGTGGTGAGCCAAGATCCCACCACTGCACTCTAGCCTGGGCAACAGAGTGAGACTCTATCTCAAAAATTAAAAAAAAACAAAAGAAATACAAATAATTAGCCAGGTGTGATAGTGTGTGCCTATAGCAGCTACACAGGAGGCTGAGGCAGGAGAATTGCTTGAACCCAGAAGGTGGAGGTTGCAGTGAGCCGAGATTGCACCATAAACTTAATCAAATTGTTGTTCCAATGGCAGTTGCTACACTATAGGTGGTTGTGTCGCTTCAGCAACTGTAACATCCATGGGAACCTGATATATAATATTGGACAGGTGAATGTTTTATTTTCTTTCAGTAATTGTTACAAACAAGAGTTTGAGTTCAGCTAGGAAGGACAGCAATGTACTATGACCTCCTATTTCAAGCTTGTATCAACTCTCTAGGCTTACATCCTAAACGAGTCCTTAGGGACCTTGGCCACCATTCCCTTACACCAGATGTGACACCATTCTTTGAACTGATGACATTATGCTGACTGAACAGGAGGTACCAACTAATCCAGACACATTAGCAACACACTTGAAAGACATTATGTGTGAAATAATTCCCACACAAAATCAGGGGCCTTCTGAGAGAGATCCAAGATGGCTGATCACTAACAGCTTGGGATTGTAGCTCCTAGTGAAAGTGCAGAGAACGAGAGGACGCCACACTTTCAGATGAATTTTTGTCACTCACGGACCAGAAGACTCCCAGCAGAGGACCCCCACGGGTCACCAGTGCGACTCTTGCGGCCGGCGCGGCGGCTCTTGGTGCAGAGTAAACGGGACTGGTTCCCCTTCTGACCGACATTTGGAGCTCCAGGAAGGCAGAGTCGCCTATTACGACCTCAAGAAGGAAGCCAGACCGGAGTTTCCCGGGCAGAAGAGCACCATCAGTCTTAACGCCGCTGTTTTGGCTGGTGCAGTGGGTTGCTCAGATTCCGGCGCTGGGAATCAATAAATTGGACGTCCACTCAGAAACCTAATTAGAAAGGCGGTAATTGCAAAGATGACAGATGGATAAATTTATAACGAAGGGAAGAAACCAGCCTAAAAAGGCTGAGAATACCCAAAATCAGAATGCCTCTCCCTCTACAGGGGATTACAGTTCCTCATCAGCAATGGAACAAGACCTGAGGGAGAAAGACTGTGTTCCATTAACAGAAGTAGGCTTCAGAAGGTAGATGATAAGAAACTTCTGGGAGTTAAAAGAACTTGTTCATACCCAATGTAAAGAAACTAAGAACTTTGAAAACAGATTATGAAAAAATGCTAACAAGAATAGACAATATAGAGAGGACTATAAATGAATTAACAGAGTTGAAAAACACAACAAGAGAACTTCACAAAATATGCACAAGTTTTAATAGCCAAATTGACCAAGCAGAAGAAAGGATATCAGAGGTTGAAGACGAACTTAATGAAATAAAACGAGAAGACAAGAATAGAGAAAAAAAGGATAAAAAGGAATGAGCAAAGTCTTCAAGAAATATGGGACTATGTGAAAAGACCTTATCTACATTTGATAGGTGTACCTGAATCTGACAAAGAGAATGAATCCAAGCTGGAAAATACTCTTCAGAATATTATTCAGGAAAACTTTCCCAACCTAGGAAGGCAGGGCAATATTCAACTCCAGGTAATACAGAGAACACCACAAATATATTCCTCAAGAAGAGCAACCCCAAGGCACATAATCGTTAGATTCACCAGGGTTGAAATGAAGGAGAAAATACTAAGGGCAGCCATAGAGAAAGGTCAGGTTACCCACAAATGAAAGCCTAGCAGACTTACAGCAGATCTCTCAGCAGAAACACTACAAGCCAGAAGAGAGTGGGGGCCAATATTCAACATCCTTAAAGGAAAGAACTTTCAGCCCAGAATTTCATATCCAGCCAAACTAAGCTTCACAACTGAAGGAAAAATAAATTTTTTTATGAACAAGCAAGTACTCAGATTTTATTACCACCAGGCCTGCTTTACAAGAGCTTCTGAAAGAAGCATTACACATAGAAAGGAACAACCAGTATTAGCCTTTCCAAAAATATACCAAAAAGTAAAGAGCATCAACATAATGAAGAATTTACATCAACAAATGGACAAAACAGCCAGCTAACATCAAATGGCAGTAATCCTAAATTTAAATCGACTAAATCCCCCAATCAAAAGATACAGCCAAAACCCAACGGTATGCTGCATCCAGACCCATTTCACATGCAAGGATACACAAAGATTCAAAACAAAGGGATGGAGAAAGATTTACCAACCAAATGAAGAGCAAAAATAAATGAATAATAAAAAGCAGGAGTTGCAATTCTCGCCTTTGATAAAATAGATTTTAAAGCAACAAAGATATAATGGTAAAAGGATCAATGTAACAAGAAGAGCTAACGATCCTAACTATATACGTACCCAATACAGGAACACCCAGACACATAAGACCTATAAAGAGACTTAGACTCCCTAGACTCCCACACAATAAAAGTAGGAGACTTCAACATCAATATTAGATAGATCAATAAGACAGAAAATTAATAAGGATATCCAAGACTTGAACACAGATCCGGAACAAGTAAACTTCATAAACATTTATAGAACTCTCCACTTTAAATACACAAAATATACAATTCTTATCCGTATCACATCACACCTACTCATAGGTTTAAAGAAAATACTGATCAGCCATTATTAAGCACAATTATTGGCATAAAAGAGGTTATCAATACCCATTTTTAGAATAAAACGACATTCCTGTTGCCTCCCTTTTTTTTCTTCCTCTCTGTCTTCCTCTCCTTCATTCCTATTTTTTCTTTCTTTCCTTCTCTCCTTCTTTCAAAAAAAAAAAAAAAAACCAGGGGCCTTCTAACTGAGTGAAATGTTTAATGATCTAGTAGGCCCACATGTCAAGATGGTGCTTATAAGGTCAACAGCAAGTTCCTACATCTTGACTTTCATACCACTAAATGAGCAAAGAAACGAGTTGCATAATAGATGCTTCTTTTAGCGCATACCTCAATGTTGTGCAGTACCGTGACCCACTGACAAGTGACTGAAACCCTGCTAGCATGGATTGGGCCCAGAAAAAGAGAAGCTTCCCTAATCCCGCAACGTGGTCTCACGTGGGGTTCCCCGTGACCAGTTGACTAGAAAAAAAAACAAAAACAAAACAAGTTATCCCCAATTTAGCAGCTTACAATAACACAAATATATAAGCAGTTCCATAGATCAGAAATCCAGGCGTCCTCGATTTGTTTCTCTGCTTAGCATCTCACAAAATCAAAGTATCAACCAGGCTGCTGACTGAAGACTCAGAGACAAACAAGCTTATTTGGGTTACTGGCAGGTCTAACTTCTTAAAGTTATAGAACTGAGGTAACCATACACTTGCGGTCTTTGCTGAGGCCACAGTAAGCTACCTGAGCCACTTCCATACCTCCTTAGGTGCACCCCTCTATCTTCTAAGCAGTCATGGTGCATCATGACTATGGTGGCTGAGATAGAGGTTGTTCATGGGCTTGGCAACATGAACTTTCATTTACCAGGTCCATGTTACTACAGTAACTGCTGACTATTCAACCTGCTAGCTGCCGAGACCAACGCTGATTCCCCAATATGGCACCATGTCCCAGACTGGTCAGTCAGCTTCCAGGTGGCACTGTGATTACTTGGGTCTGCTTCCACAATTGAAAGAGCATCACTTTGATGTTGCTCAAATAGACACTCTTCTGGATATGGATTTTCATTCCTATCCATGGTACTTCAAGAAAACCAACACTGTGGTAATAGGAAAGGCTGTACCCACCATCGTGGTATCCCACACTTTACCAGTTTTAAACATGAAACCCACTTTACAGGAAATGAATACGGCAATGGGATCATGCTCACGGATTTCACTCGTCTCCTGATGTTCTTTACCATCCTAAAGTGGCTGGCTCAATAGAACATTGGAGGATCTTTCAAAGCCTGAGTTGTAGTTGCAGCTTTGTGACAGGGCCTTGTGTGGCTTGGCTGACAATCTAGAAAGTGACAAAGCTGAATCCCAGCATCAAAGATATGGAACTCTTTCTCCCATAGCCACATCTATGACTTCAAGAATGAAGGAGGCAATATGCAGGCCTCTTCTCACTATTAATCCTGGGTATCTAGTAGCAAAATGTTGCCTCTTATGCTCAAGAAGCAAAATTTGCTGTAAAGAAGAAAACTTTTGGCTCTGCTGGACTAGAGGACATTTTACACACTGAGACATTATTTCAACATGGGAACCAAAAGTGATTCCATTGAAATGACAGCTGTGTCTGGCCAGGAGCAGTGGCTCACACCTGTAAACCCAGCACTTTGGGAGAACAAGGTGGGCAGATCACCTGAGGTCAGGAGTTGGAGACCAGCCTGCCGAACATGATGAAACCCCGTCTCTAATAAAAATACAAAAATTAGCCAGACGCAGTGGTGCAGGCCTGTAGTCCCAGCTACTTGGGAGGCTGAGGGTGAGAAAACACTTGAAACTGGGAGGCAGAGGCTGCCACGAGCTGGGATGGCGCCACTGAACTCCTGAACTCCAGCCTGGGTGATAGAGTGATATTCCATCTCAAAATCAAAAGAAAACAACAACAACAACAAATAAAAGTCGTGTCTGCAAGCTGACCACTTTGGACTGTTCATTCCTCTCAACCAAAAGACAAAGGAGGAGGTCCACTACTGGCTGGAGTGATGGAAACTGACAATCAAAGGGAGATGGGGTTCCTAATATACTAGGGGCTAAGAAAGAGCATGTCTTATATGTCTAGACAGCTTCTTAATTCTCCTGTGTTTTGTGATTAGAGTTAATGGAAAATTACAGCAACCCCATCCAGGCAGGACATCTAATGGTTCAGACTCTTCATAATGAAGGTTTGAGTCACCCTGCCAGGCCAGGCACCATGACCAGCTGACATGCTATCTCAAGGCAAAGGAAATGAAAAATGGGGAGTGAAAGAAGGCAGTTATAAATACCAGCTACCACAATGTGGGCTGCTACAGAAACCACGACTGTAATAGTATTTACTTAATGGGTTAATAATATCTGCCAGCACAGGTGGGAAAATCAACCAACGAACAAACAAGTTATCCTTTCAAATGAAATGCTTAGGGAAAAAGACCAACTTTTACTGACAGAAATTTCTTAGCCTCTGGGAGGCCATTTTATTCACTAACACATGCTAGGAGGCCTCAGCCATATCCTGCTCGATTGTAGAAAACAGCAATTTGATCCTCTTTCCTCCTCAATCATTAAAGAGATTATGCATTTAGGGTCTGATGTTCCTTCTTGGACAAGTAGCCACATGTCATTTCTTCCAGTTTCTTCTCAAGGTGCGGAATTAAGTGTCCGCTCATATACCTGAAAAGAAAGAGACGTGTCATTAACCAAAAGAGAGCCAAAGAACCTATGCTGTAGGAAGCACTGTGGGAGATAGAAGGATGAAGTAACAGTCAGCATGGAGACAGAAATGCACCTGCATGGTAAGGGGTAGTCTAGCCAGGCAATAACAAATGCTGGCGAGGGTGTGAAGAAAAGGGAAGCTTCATACACTCTTGTTGAGAATATAATTTACTATGACAACTATGAAGAACAGTTTGGAGGTTCCTCGAAAACCTGAACATGGAGCAATCATATGATCCAGTAATCCCACTGCTGGGTATACTCCCAGGAGAATGGAAGTCAGTACACCACAGAGATATCTGCACTCCCGTGTTGGTTGCAGCCCCGTCCACAGTAGCCAAGCTTTGGAAGCAACCTATGTGTCCACCAACAGATGAATGGGTAAGGAAAACGCGGTACATATACACAAAGGAGTGCTGTTCGGCCATAAAAAAGAATGAGATTCAGTCATTTGCAACAACATGGATGGAACTGAAGGTCATTACGTTAAGTGGAATAAGCCAGGCACAAAAAGACAAACTTCGCATGTTCTCACTTATTGGTGGGAGCAAAAATTTTAAACAACTGAACTAACGGAGATAGAGAGTAGAATGACGGTTACCAGAGGCTGGGAAGGTTAGTGGGGTGGGGGGAAGTGCAGATGATTAATACGTACAAAAATGGCATGAGTAAGATGTAGTATTTGAAAGCATAACGGGGTAAATATAGTCAGTAATAATTCAATTGTACATTAGAAATAACAAGAGTATAATTGGATTATCTGTAACACAAAAGATAAATGCTTGAGGTGATAGATGCCCCATTTACCTTGCTGTGTTTATTACACGTTGTTGTCTGTATCACACTATGTCATATACCCCAGAAATATATGCATCTGCGATGTACCTACACACATTTTTTTTAAAAAAGAGGTAATCTAGCAAATACAAGGAGTGTCAATTGAGGGACAATGTCTACCTCAGACTATGGTGAGAAGGGAAGTCTCCATAGGCTTTGGAGAAGGAGTTAGATTCAGAAAACATTAACCTATGTAACTGTGGAGATAGCCGTAACTATAAGTGAAGGCCAGGGTTTGCGAAATTTGAGGCACGGGCTGTTCCCCCACGCTCATGCCCAGTACTGTGTTGAGCCCAAGTACTTAAAGAAATTGAGCAGTTCCTAGTTCTGCCCACCTGACTGCTTCCTTGATGATGGATTCAAAATAGCATCCCTTGACTTCTACAGGTGTTTGCAGTCCTTCAGGCAATTTGACTTTTTTTTTCACGTTCTGAAGATGTTAAAAAAATAAACTTCAGTATTATAAAGAAGAATAAAAGTGAATCTTGGTTAAACTATACCTCAGCAATCATGCTTCATAGGCTAAATGTTTTAAATGCTTAAATAAAGATGCCAGCTCATACAAAAACTAAATAAATAAACAAACACCTGCATGTACATAGGAATGAAACTCTTGTAAACAATAACCAAGAAAGAAAAGAAAAAGAGAAGTTGTACTATATTTTAGTCAAAGAACAGAAAAACCACTGTAAATTATATGCAATCTCAACTCTGGCAAAGAATGAGCCTCAGCAGATAACATGCACATCTTCTAAATTATAAAAAGAGAGACTTCGTGGAGTTTTTTTTTTTTGAAACAGACATTCTTATATTACTTACTTCTCCAAAGTAATGTAGAATTTCCTTCATTAATTTGCCTTCTGTTTCAGCATTAATATCTTTTTGGATTCTTGAAAAAGGGAGTATTTCTGTGACTTTTAGGTCATCTGCAGAGAAAGTGCTGGTAATGATGACTCCTACAAGTGCATTTCTACCAGGTTTCTGCATCAGCCCACCTTTGCTGAAGCCAGTGAAGTCATCAATCCGAGAATCCAGTTGGCTGGCTGGAATACCAACTCCTACCTTAAGCTCTGGCGGAACAAATTTTGACAAAAAGCCATCAGTTGGAGTTTCACCATGTTCTTTCCCCTCCACATAGACATCACGAACGACAGATCTGGAAACCAAACTGAGAAGTTGAGCTGTGGGATATGTGTGTTTCATCAGCCCTCTGGGTCCATCTATGTGTTCCTCAGTTTCTGGGTAATTATTTATTTCATAATTGGGAGGATGTACCGGGGGAAACCCCAGGCCTGACGAACTGAGGCCAGGACACATAATACAGTAAAACCACCACTTATTTTCTGGCCCTATGAATGCATATGGAAACCAAGTAAGACAGTACAACTCTAACAAACATTCACAGGTCCCTGGCACTCATGGGTTAGTGTCAGCTTGTTATGCTTTACTAGGTGAAAGCAGCACGTCTCATTTGACATCATGACTTCTCAAATTGACATACAACCCACCGTGCTTTACTGAGCTGGAAGCCAGACAACTTGGATACACCTCAACCTGCCTCCTCTCTACATCAAATATGTTCTGAGAAAATAGAGGCAGCCATTAGTGCTGAAAGTTCTATATGCACTCCAACACCAAAAATCCATTTTAGTGTATGATCTTCCTCATCCTTCTTTCTTTGTCTCAAAAACGTTACGTTCTTTTCACTCCAGATCTGTCACCTCTTTCATTTATTCATCGTCTGTGGTAGGCAGCATGCCAGAAGCTGGGGATCAGCAGTAAACTACCAGAGAGCAACATTTCCTGCTCTTGTGGAGCTCACATCCTCATGTGGCAGTCAGACAGTACGTGCCCAATGAGCGAAGGAAATTAACAGCATTGGGCTGATGGTGGGGAGGCCGTCCACAGGCTTGTGGGAGACAGCGGCAGAGGGAGCCACAGGGGCTATTACTGGTTGGGCAGGGCCTTCTGAGGAGGTGGCCTTGGGCAGCGATTGGAGGAAGAAGTGGGGCAGCCTGTGCAGAGGCAGAAGGGGATTTCCAGGCTGCAGTGAGGCCAAGGGTAGGGGCTGGAGTGGGGATAGACTGGGCACTATGGGGTGAAGGACAGAAACAGAGAGAGCCAGGGGATGGATGGGACCCATGTTAGCAGAGGGTGACGGAGGTCAGGCCACCTAGAGCCTCGTAGACCAAAGCTGGTTTACAGTCTGTTCTGAGTGCTTAGGGGAGTTGAGGATAGGTTTTCAGGAGCGACACGACATGATGTCATTAACATGCCAACACGATGACCTGGCTGCAGGGTTGGAGGGTGTGTGTTAGATGGGGGCAATAATGGGAAACATGGAGATGTCACTGTAGCTCAGTGACTGACCATGGCACAGTGGATAAAAAGGAGAGAGAGAAATTCTGGGATTCAGAAATTTTTACAGGATTTACAGAAGAGAAGAAAAATAAAGGTAGAAAAACAGAGTGATGGGGTGCAGTAGCTCATGCCTGTAATCCCAGCACTTTGGGAGGTCGAGGTGGGTAGATCACCTGAGGTGAGGAATCTGAGATCAGTCTGGCTGCCATGGCGAAACCCCATTTTACTAAAAATATAAGAATTGGCTGGGCATGGTGGCTGGTGCCTATAACCCCAGCTACCCGAGAGGCTCAGACTGGTGAATAGTTGAACCCCAGAGACGGAGGTTGCAGTGACCCAGGATGGTGCCACTGCACTCCAGCCTGGCCTACAAGAAAGAAACTCCATCTGAAAACAAAAAAGGTCGGGATTCACCAATAAGGACAATACATTTTAAAAGAAGATTGTGGAAAACGGAAATCCTAGAAGCTTTCCATGAAGAAGCAGTGAACAACTCTCAAACGCTGCTGAGAAATTAATGGCAACGTCGGCCAAGACTGTTGATCTTGACAAGCACAGTTTCAGTGGAGGGGAAGAGGCAGGAGACTGACTGCACTGGATACAGCATGAAGAGGAGGTGAGGACAGGCTTATTTACTCTTTTCTTTAGACGTGGCAGAGCCTCCAATAAGGCCATCTCCTATTCCTCGTTTCCTTACCAACAGGGCCATCTTCTGCCTTTTCTGGGATGAAGAACTCTCACATTCCCTGGGATGTTTAAATGCATTTTGAGGTTTTGCAGCAACCTTCTCTTCTTTAATCCGTGATTGTGTCCTGAAAAACATCAATGAACATTTTCCATTCATGACAAATATCTAACAATCAGAAAATGACAAACAGTCTGCATATATCAATACAATCAAGAACTTCAATCATTAGTTTGACTTTTAATAATGAGCCAAGATTTACCGAGTCTCAACAAACACTCTGTTTTCAGGAAAAGAAACCTAATTTTGATGCGTGCTAAGAAGAAAGAAAGAAAGAAAGAAAGAAAGAAAGAAAGAAAGAAAGAAAGAAAGAAAGAAAGAAAGAGAGAGAGAGAGAGAGAGAGAGAGAGAGAGAGAGAAAGAAAGAAGGAAGGAAGGAAGGAAGGAAGGAAGGAAGGAAGGAAGGAAGGAAAGAAAGAAAGAAAGAAAGAAAGAAAGAAAGAAAGAAAGAAGAAAGAGAAAGAAAGAAAACTACAGACCAATATCCATGATGAACATTGATGCAAAAATGTTCAATAAAATACTGGCAAACCGAATCCAAAAGCACATCTAAAAGCTTATCCGCTATCATCAAGTAAACTTCATCCCGGGATGCAAGGCTGGTTCAACATAGGCAAATTTATAAATGTAATTCACCACATAAACAGAACCAAAAATAAAAACCACATGATTATCTCAATAGATGCAGAGAAGGGCTTTGACAAAATTCAACAGCCCTTTATGCTAAAGACTCTCAATAAACTAGGTATCGAAGGAACACACCTCAAAAGCCATATAGGAGAAACCCACAGCCAATATCATACTGAATGAGCAAAAACTAGAAGCATTCACTTTAAAAACTGGCACTAGACAAGGATGCCTTCTCTCACCACTCCTATTCAATATAGTATTGGAAGTTCTAGCCAGAGAAATTAGGCAAGAAAAAGAAATAAAGGGCATTCAATTAAGAAAAGAAGAAGTCAAATTGTCCCACTTGCAGACAACATGATCGTATATTTAGAAGAACTCATCATCTCAGCCCAAAACCTCCTTAGGCTGATAAGCAACTTCGGCAAAGTCTCAGGATACGAAATCAATGTGCAGAAATCACAAGCATTCCTATACACCAATAACAGACAAATAGAGAGCCAAATCATGAGTGAACTCCCATTTACAGTTGCTACATAGAGAATAAAATACCTAGGAATACAACTAACAAAGTATGTAAAAGATCTATTCAAGGTGAACTACAAACCAAATCAAGGAAATAAGAGAGGACACAAACAGCTGGGAAAACATTCTATGCTCATGGTTAGGAAGAATCAATATTGTGAAAATGGCCATACTGCCCAAAGTAATGTATAGATTCAATGCTATCCCCATCAAGCTACCACTGATCTTCTTCACACAACTGGGAAAAACCACTTTAAACTTCATATGGAATCAAAAGAGAGCTTGCACAGCCAAGACAATCCCAAGCAAAAAGAACAAAGCTGAAGGCATCATGCTACCTGACTTCAAACCATACTGGCAAGGCTACAGTAATCAAACAGCATGGTACTGGTACCAAAACAGAGATTCAGACCAATAGAACAGAACAGAGGCCTTGGAAGCAACACCACACATCTACAATCATCTGATCTCTGATGAACCAGACAAAAACAAGCAATGGGGAAATGATTCCCTGTTTAATAAATGGTGTTGGGAAAACTGTTGGGAAATTCCATTCTATTACAAGCGAGCCATATGCAGGAAGCTGAAACCTTTCTTACACCTTATACAAAAATTAACCCCAGCTGGATTAAAGGTTTAAACATAAGAACTAACACCATAAAAACCCTAGAAGAAAACCTAGGCAACACCATTCAGGACATAGGCACAGCAAGGACTTCATGACTAAAACACCAAAAGCAATGGCAACAAAAGCCAAAATAGACACATGGGATCCAATTAAACTTAAGAGTTTCTGCACACGAAAAGAAACAATCATCACAGTAAAGCGGCAACCAACAGAATGGGAAAAATGTTTGCAATCTACCTGTCAGACAAAGGGCTAATATCCAGAATCTACAAAGAACTAAAGGAGATTTACAAGAAAAAACAAACAAACAAACAAACAAACCAACCCATTCAAAAGTGGGCAAAGGATATGAACAGATAGTTTTCAAAAGAAGGCAAATATGCGGCCCACAAACATATGAAAAAATGCTCATCATCACTGGTCATTAGAGAAATGCAAATCAAAACCACATTGAGATACCATCTTACACCAGTTAGAATGGCAATCATTTAAAAATCTGTGGACAACAGATGCCAGAGAGGAAGTGGAGAAAAAGGAACACTTTTGTACTGTTGGTGGGAGTGTAAATTAGTTCAAACATTATGGAAGACATTGTGGCGATTCCTCAAGGACCTAGAAATAGAAATTCCATTTTGACCCAGCAATGCCATTACTGGGTATATACCCAAAGGATTATAAATCATTCTATCATAAAGACACACCCACACGTATGTTCATTGTGGTGCTGTTTACAATAGCAAAGACCTGGAACCAACCCAAATGCCCATCCATGATAGACTGGACAAAAAAAAAAAAAAAAAGTAGCACATATACACCATCGAATACTATGCAGCCATAAAAAACGACGAGTTTGTGTCCTTTTTAAGAGACATGGATGAATCTAGAAACCGTAATTTTCAGCAAACTGACCCAAGAACAGAAAACCAAACACCGCATGTTTTCACTCACAGGTGGGTGATGAACAATGAGCACACTTGGGCACAGGGAAGGGAACAACACTCACAGGGCTAGGTGGGGGAGTGGAGGGGAGCAGCGGGACAGCGAAAGGGGAGGGGTGGATGGGGAAGGATAACACCGGGAGAAATGCTGATCTAGGTGACATGGGGGGCGGAGGGATGGAGACAGGAAACCATCATGGCATATATATACCTATGCAACTATCCTGCAGGATGCATGATGTGCACATGTACCCCAGAGCCCAAATGCAATTTAAAAAAAAAGAAAGAAAAAGAAGAAGAAAAATGGTATAACCAGAATCAATCAGAATGCTTTCAGAATAAGCAGCTCTCATCAAACAAAAGTAGATAAAAATGTTATTACCTCTTTGAAGATGGATAAACTAATCTGTATCAACACTTGCTAGGAAAAATAATTCCTTTTCTTTGTCCTCATTCTAGGAGATTGATACAAATCTGATAATATTTGACAAGGACATCAGAAGAAAGAAAAACTACAAGATCAAGCCAAAACTACAAGCTAAGATCACCCCTGAACCCAGACTCCCAAATTCTAAACTAAAGGTTAGCAAATAAAATACAATAGTGCTTAAAAAGAACTCCATCAGCCATGGTGGAGTATACTGTATAAAGACAAGAATGATTTAACATTTGAAAATCAATAAATGTAATGCACCACATTAAAAACAACAAAAATACAGGGAAACACCACATGATCATTATTATAGATGGGTCAATGTTTAAAATGTATTCATGATAAAAACTATCAGCCTCTTAGAAAAAAAAGGTAAGCATATTTTGGTAAGCATATGCATACACACAAAAAATAGTAAATGCCATACTTCATAGTGAAGTATCAGGATTTTCTTCCTGAGTTTGAAAACAAGACAAATGTGTCCACTATCCGTTAAACAATTTACTGGAGGTTCTAAAAAGTGCAGTAACATCAGGAAAATATGAATCGGTTTAAAATCTTAAAAGAAAGAAAACTGTCATTATTTAGAGATGACATTGTTCTGTACCTAGAAAATGTAAAAGTATAAAATCATTATGGTTAATAAGCAAATTTACTCAAGTCACTGGATATAATAAAAATCAATGATATTTCTTTATAATTAATAGCAACAAATAATTAGAATATAAAATTTCAAATGTCGTTAAAACAGTAAAAAAATTGAATACTTAGAAATAAATCTAATCAGAATGTGCTAGAGCAGTACACAAAAATTATAACACATCTCTGAGAGAAATTCAAGACTGCAGTATATGGACAAAAATATTCTTTCCATGGAATGAAAAGACAGTATTAAGAGGCATTATTGTTAACTCTTTCAGAATGACATAGCAATCATATTTAAAATTCTACCATATTTACAAAAAGTTTTTCTAAAAATCGACAAACAGATAATTGTCTGAAGCATATGCAAATTAAAGATTTGGGAAAGCTGGCCGGAGGCGGTGACTCACGCCTGTAATCTCAGCACTTTGCGGGGCTGAGGTGTAGAGATCTAGAGATCACAAGATCCAGAAATCAAGACCATCCTGACCAACATGGTGATACCCATCTCTACTAAAAATACCAAATTAGCTGGATGTGGTGGTGCGTGCCTGTAGTCCCAGCTACTCTGGAGGCTGAGACCTGAGAATCAATTGAACCAGGGAGGCGGAGGTCACAGTGAGCTGAGATTGTGCCACTGCACTCCAGCCTGGCAACAGAGTGAGACTCTGTCTCAAAATATATATATTTGGGAAACCTAAGACAATATTTAAGAAAAAGAACTAAGTTTGTAGACATACACTACTAAACATGAGATTTACTATAAGGGTAGAGTAATGAAAACAGTATGGTATTGGTGCAATGACAGACAAATACACTAAAGGTAGAGGACATGGAGGCCAGAAAGAATCTGGAAATGGAAAACAGCTAGATTTACCACAGAAGAGCTCCTGTAAAACACTGTGGAAAGACTAGTGCTTTTAAAAAATGCACTTCATAAATGCAGGGAAAATACAAACTTGGACTCTTACCCCATCCCACTCCAGAAACGTTACTAAAGATGGATAGTAAATCCAGTAGAAAACATAAGATATTAGTGTTACAGCTTTAGAATAGGCCAAGGTATTTTTGATTAGGATAAAAAGGCACTAATGATAAAGAATACATTGTTTAATTAGACATAACTAAATGTAAAACTTGTATTCCTCAAAAGACAGTCTTAGGAGAGTGAAAAAGCAAAGCATATCTGTAGATTACATATTATATACTATATAGTCTAGGTTATATATAAAAATATACATTAATCATATATATGTATATATCTGACCAAAAAAATGAGTGAAATCCAGAATATAACCAGAACTACAAATCAATTTTAAAAAACAAACATTGCAATAAAATGTGCAGAAAACAGCTGAGTACTCATTCATAAGAGTCATACTCAAATATGACTTTAATCATCACATAAAATATACCCAGGCTATGACTGTACTCCATTCCATGAAAATTTATTTGAGATGAATGGGAGATCTAAAAGACAGCTTAGAATATTATCATCATGGCATTGGGCGAAGCAAAGATTATTCTTAAAATAATAGGAAGCACCAGCCCTAAACAAGAAACTGATTAATGAAATTAAGAGAATCTGTTCATCTAAAACACAATATTGAGATAGTGTAAAAGCAAAACAGATTTGTAGAAGATACTAAAATTGTGTGTGTATTTTAATACATGTACATATATGCCTGTGTGTATGTGTCTAACTGAAACCCAGAACTTATATGTAAACCATGAATCCATTTTTAAAATACAAGTATCTCGATAAAATTTGGAGGAAAAGAGCTGAAAAGGGATTTCGTAAAAGACATATTTAAATGGCGAATAAACACATTTAAAAAGTGCTCTAAAAATAATCAATAAATAGCTGGGCACAGTGGCTCATACCTATAATCCCGGCACCTTGGGAGGCTGATGCAGGCAGAGGCCACTTGAGCCCAAGGGTTCGAGACCAGCCTGGGCAACTTGGCGAAACGCCGTCTCTACCAAAAAATACAAAGATTAGCCAGAATTGGCGGCATGCACTTATAGTCCCAGCTACTCGGGAGGCTGAGGCATGAGAATCGATCAAGCCTGGGAGGTCGAGGTTGCAGTGAGCCGAGATGGTGCCACTGCACTGCAGCCTGGGTAACAGAGCAAGACCTCGTCTCAAAAAAACAATCAAAACTCAATAAATAAACCCTTAAAAAAAAACAGGTCCTCAATCTCATTAATCAGGCCCAAACTGCAAATGCAGACATAAGGAGAGATCACTGCACACCCATCAGAGTGGCTGAAATGAAAGACTAATTGCACACCCAGTGTGTGCATCTGGAACCTTCAAACATTTCTGGAAGGAAATGTTTCCTAGACTGACACCCGATGGGTACGGCTGAAAGGTCAGATAGTTCCCGGGGAAAGAGCTCCTTCACGACTGAGAACCAACGGAGGAAAAGCACCCCAACCCGGGGCCAGATAGAGCTCCCAAGGTCAGGTGGCCTCCCTCATGGCTGACACAGAGCGCTGAGAGTCCCACCATAGGCTTAGAGAATCCAAGAAACAGCACCCCACTCCCTCGCAGCACTGGGAGACAGCACCCACAGATAATAATTTAAAAACCCAGCACCAAGAGAAAGCATCCGATAGGCGTCCCAATCGGGGATAAACAGATCCAAAGAAAAGCCAACACATCCTAGCTGAGAGTGAGCAACGTCCAAGGCCAAATGTGCCCCACGGCTGACATCAGCACCCAGCGAAGAGTCCCTCGTGGGCTGAGATAAACCCCGCGACAGAGAGTGACCCAACAGGGCAGTGATCATGTGTCCGCAGGACAGCCACCCTCACCCCAGCCCCGAACACAGACAGAGTCCCTAAGGCAGAGTCTCCCAGCAGGGTCGTGGCCAAGCGGGGAAGAAACACCGCCGCACCCGAAGGTGACACAGGCGACCAATGTAGGGTCCCCACCCTTGGGTTCAGTCATTGCACAGGAAAAGTTCGTCGCATCACTAAGAGGGAGTCCCCAAGAAAAGCTCCCCAGCCCCACAACATAACCGAGACGGGGTGTCCAAGGAAAAGACTCCCCGACAGCTGACACACGCGCCCATGGTAGTGTCCACACAGCGAAGCCGTACCACTCACCGGACAAAGAACACGCCAGAAAAGAAGCTTTCCTAGGAAAAAGGACACATTCTGGGGAGAAATTAAAGCATCCAGGGAAAAACTGCCCACTTACGTAGTCGTGAAGTCTTGACCTTGCCAGAGGAGCTGCGGCTGCACTTCCCAAAATGGCAGAGAAGTTGTGGCGCCTCCCCACTGCTGGAACTTTCTAGAAACTTGCTCTCTGGGAGTTATGGGAAGTGTGCCCCGGATGCCTGTGAGTGATGCTCCTTGGGAGGCGTCCCACCAGAAGCACCAATCTGGTAAGGCTCAAGGGAGGCAGAAGGCAGGGAAGCTGCCGGCCACCGCGGGCCCCGCCCCAGCCGAACACTGGGAGCCTGTTGGGGAGGCCAGAGTCCCGAAGTGAAGCCTCGTGCACTGCGAGACCGCCGGCGCCAACCGGAAGAACCGGGAAGCGTGGCGTCCCCGCCCTTCGCTAACTCTAACCCTCTTTACGCGCAGCCTTCGGTATTGGCAGTACGGCGGACATAGGCAGAGGAACGCGGAACCTCACACAGCGGAATCAAAGGGTGAATTTGGAGCTGACGGGCAAAGACATCTTATAATATGTTTGTCTGGCTTTGATATCAGGGTAATATTGGCCTCATAGAATGAAGTAGTGTTCCTTCCTCTTTTATTCTTTTGAAATCCTTTGCTAAGTATTGGTATTACTTCTTCCTTAAATGTTTGATAGAATTTACATGCGAAACCACCTCGGCTTGCCTTCCATTTGTGGGGAGATTTAAAATTACTAATTAAATACCTTTTCATGCTATAGTCCTATTGCAAATTTCTATTTCTTTTGAGTCAGTAATTTGTTCTCTAGGAATTTCTCTGTTTCACCTGCGTTGTTTAATTTGTTGGCATAAAGGTGTTCATAATGTATGTCTTTAAATTTATCACTTTCTTTGTGTGTGTGTGCACGTGAGACGGTGTCTCACTCTTTTGCTGAAGATGGAGGGTGGTGGCGCGATCTGGGCTCATTACTTCTTCTGACTTTCTGGTTCAAGCACTTCTTCTGTCTCGGTCTCCTGGGTAGCTGGGGCTACAGGTGGCATCATATCGCCCGGCTAATTTTTTGTGTTTTAGTAGAGTCAGGGTTTCACCATGTTGGCCAGGCTGGTCTCAAACTCCTGACCTCAGGTGATCCGCTGGTCTCGGCTCCCCAAAGTGCTGGGATTACGGGAGTGAGCCACCGCGCCTGGCCCCTTTTAATTTCTGTAAGGTCAGTATTCATAACACCCTTTTCATTCTTGATTTTGGTAATCTGTGTAGTCCTTTCTTTTATTCTTGGTCAGTCAAGCTAAAAGATAAGTTAGGTTTTTTTTCTCAGCTATTCTGTGAAGCAATTTTTTAATTCATTGATTTTTATTTCACTGATTTTCTTTAATTTTCATCATTCCCCTCTTTCTGCTTGCTTGTATTAAATACATCAGTTTAAAACTTCAGGAATAACAAATGGTTTGTTTCATAAAGGAGGATTTGAATCCTTAAACATATAGAAATGCTTATGATATTGCCAAGTAGTAGTCATTTTCGACCAGTTAACCAGAAGGAAATTTGGTATGCTGAAACCAGACAAGTTTTTTGTACCAGGTTTTATTAATTTTGAAAATATAAATCTAGTTTGTAAGAAGGTGTTTATTGCATGAGCAGTTTGTTTTTTTTTAATATTTAGACTTCTCATTTTCACTGAATCCCACAAATTTATTTTTCTTAAGCTTCAAAGTATGTATCAACCAGCACATTCACTATCCTCTTTGTGCTTTATCTCTGATAATCCTTATAAGAGCACCATGAGTTAGGTACTGTTTTATGCCCATTTTACGGAAATAGAATCTTAGGGTGCACATTTAAGTAGCTCTTTCAGGTTTAACCAGTTGGAAAAGTGACAAAATCTAGGTATGTCAGATTCCAGAGATTGCACACACAAATACTATATCACACTGCTTACTGCTGTGAGTTTGGCAGAGAATTCCTTGTTTATATGGAAATCACAAAACTGATAATATCCAGGATAATTGGCAGCAGTTTATAAACCCTCTTTACCGCTAATTTGGTGATTTTGTGTGGGGTCACCTGTCCACTAATCTAATCGGATCTTAGGCTGGTCACACTTCTGAATTTGCACACCAAGTTTGTGTGTAAGGGTACTTCTCCAGGGGAAAATATCTGTAGATTTCATCAAATTTTCCAAAGAGGGTTAGGCCCGCTACTCAGCGTTCCCTGGAAGGTAAGAGAATGCCATGTAGCCTACACCCTTCTCCACCTGAACAACTTCATACAGTTGGCTATGGCTTTACAAATGATGGGCAGGTAGGACAACTAGGAAAGTGTATGTGCTCATTAATACATACTTCTCCTTTAAGCCTGAAAAGATGAACTTGTGGAATTACAAAAATTGGCATTCTAAATATTTAAGTATTACTATTTAGAATTATAGATCTTTTAGTCGGGATGGTGGCATAAGGAAGGTCATTCTGTTCTCAAACTAAGCTGGAGGCATAAGGGATTTGTTTAACCTAGTGGTGTGAACCTACAGGAAGTCGTGATGGTAGCGTGAGTCATCACTTAGATAAAGTGAGATTTATAGATCACAGAACACGATATAGATTCTAGATATGAGATTCTAAACTCTGTTTGCTACCAAGGCACCCATTGCTAAAACAGTCTGTGATCATGTGCTCTCAGGAGGATCATATATTTCAGCTGTATAGTGCCAATTTATGTGCCAGTTATGTTCCAGGTATAAATGAAAGTGTTCTAGTAACACACAGAGATAATTATCAGACATATCTGCAGATGCCGGTTTCTCCACTTCAAACGAGTCAGCCAACTCCACCTGGAAAACGTCACACTGTTGGCTCTGTGCTTACAAATGATGGCCAGGTAAGATAACTTTCTATTTCTGCCCTAATTGTGACATTCTTAGTATAAGTATTTTCTCAGTGGAAAGATGAATATAAACTATATGTGTTAATTCTCTTGATTTAAAAGATAAGAATATGACACAGGAATTCTCATGTGAACATAAAATGGGAACTTTTTGGTCCAAGAGTAGATTCATTGGACTAGGAGCTGATGTTTTTAATTATCACATTTAATGCTCATAATTGTTCTGCAGATGTGTATTACTATCTCGCCTTTAATGAGAAATCAAGGCTGACAGCGGTCAAATGGCTTGCCCCACGTGACACATGATAGGAGATAGAGCCAGGGTTCAAACGCATATCTTTGTGACTCCAGAGTCTATATTCTTTCCCACTCCTCAATTAATTAGACTCTTCCCTATTTTTCCGTGCCTTTATTTTCGCTTTCTTAAGGAAAGAGATAAGAATCACACCTCACTCATAGGGATTGGCCAAGGATTGAGTTAATACATGCAAATCATTTAGAACAGTACCTGGAGGGTAGTAAATGTTCAGTAAAAATGTCTTCACACATTCTCAGCTCCTCTTTTATAGGATGTGAAAATGCTTTGGAAAATTTTAAAATCAAAATTATATATTATATACGTTCTATATATTACATGGTATATATATATATTATATGTATTTCTTGAAATATATGCTGATACTCTTTCCTATTTAATGTGGGAGCATATTCGTTATTACTTCACCTATTATTTTAAGTTCTGGGGTACATGTGCAGGATATGGAGGTTTGTTACATAGGTAAAAGTGTGGCACGGTGGTTTGCTGCACCTGTCAATCAATCACCTTGGTATTAAGCCCAGCATCCATTAGCTATTCTTCCTGATGTACTCTCTCCCCCCAGCCCTCCCCCAGAAAGACCCAGTGTGTGTTGCCCTACCTGATGTGTCTGTGTGTTCTCATCATTCAGCTCCCACTTAAAAGTGAGAACACGCACTGTTTGGTTTTCTTTCTCTGCATTAGTTTGTTGAGGATAATGGCTTCCAGCTCCATCAATGTTTCTGCAAAGACATGATCTCATTCCTTTTTATGGCTGCATAGTGTTCCCTCGTGTATGTGTACTACATTTTCTTGATCCAGTCTATCATTGATGGCCATTTGGGTTGATTCCACATCTTTGCTATTGTGAATAGTGCTGCAGTGAATATACATGTGCATATATATATATTTTTTTTAGCAATTCTGAATGGGAGTTCATTCATGATTTGGCTCTCTGCTTGCCTGTTTTTGGTATATAGGGATGCTAGCAATTTTTGCGCATGGATTTTATATCATGAGAGTTTGCTGAAGTTGCTTATCATCTTCAGAAACTTTTGGACTGGGATGATGGTATTTTCTATATATGGGGCCATGTCATCTGCAAACAAAATAACTTCATGTCCTCTTTCCCTATTTGAATACCCTTTCTTTCTTTGTCTTGCCTGATTGCCCTGGCCAGAATGTCTGATACTATGTTGGATAGGACTGGTGAGGGAGGGCATCCTTGTCTCGTGCAAGTTTCAAGAGGAATGCTTCCAGCTTTTTCCCATTCGATATGCTATTGGCTGTGAGTTTGTCATATATGGCTCTTACTGTTTTGAGATGTGTTCATTCAATACCTGGTTTTTTGAGAGCTTTTTTTATTTTTTGAGACGGAGTTTCGCTCTTGTTACCCAGGTTGGAGTGCAATGGCGCAATCTCGGCTCACCGCAACCTCCGCCTCCTGGGTTCAGGCAATTCTCCTGCCTCAGCCTCCCGAGTAGCTGGGATTACAGGCACGCGCCACCATGCCCAGCTAATTTTTTGTATTTTTAGTAGAGACGGGGTTTCACCATTTTGAGCAGGATGGTCTCCATCTCTTAACCTCGTGATCCAACCGCCTCGGCCTCCCAAAGTGCTGGGATTACAGGCTTGAGCCACCGCGCCCGGCCCGAGAGCTTTTAATATAAGGGGGTGTTGAATTTTATCAAAGGCCTTTTCTGTATCCATTGAGATAATCATGCGGTTTTTGCCTTTAGTTCTATTTATGTGATGAATTACATTTATTGATTTACCTATTCTGAACTGACCTTGAGTCCTGGCAATGAAGCCAACTTGATCATGGTAGATAAGTTTTTTGATGTGCTGCTCGATTCAGTTGGCCAGTATTTTATTAAGGATATTTGCGTCATTGCTCATCAGGAACACCAGCCTGAAGTGTTTGTTGTTGCTGTGTCGCTGCCAGATTTTGGTATCCGGATGATGCTGGTCTCCTAAAATGTAGTAGGATTCCCTCCTTTTCAATTTTTTGATATAGTTTCAGTAGAAATAGTGCCAAATAGTACATTCTAAGTAGGCAGGAGCATATTCTCGGGTTATCTTTTGATGGCAGGACCTTTTAGTTAAACTAGTATATCCTTCAATTTCATGTTTTATTTACCACCAATATTTCAAAGCACCTCCTGCCCCTGCCTGGCTCCAAAATGAACATATTTGAGTCTCCATAAGGTTGGAGGTGGGAAAATATACCTTTTTCATCGATGTTACCTTTCACTGTCTACATATATTATCGAATAAAGTGTTAATCAGTATTTGTCAATAAGTAACGTTCAACAACTAAAAAATAAAAACGATATTTGCTATTTTTTGTCCCCTAACAAGGGCTGAGAGACAATTATGTGTACTACATTAGAGAGATAAGCATGTTTCTTGTCTTGGTTGATGAAAGCCACCCATTCCCCAAGGACTCTGATTAATCATGACTGTACCATGTTTGACTTTGGATAACACCTTGTATTTTGCCTTCGCTTGTTTCACTGAAACTACATTAGAGTTGGCTTGCCTCTTCTGCGAGCATCGTGTGTGATGATGAATCTTTGACCTTTGGCTAAAACTTAATGATATAAATGCATGGCTGTGTATGCATATGAAGACTGTGACTTTGCAATGGTTGTATTTGTCTTTAATGGAATATGTTCACTGATGTTTTTCAGCAAATGAGGAGTGACAAAGTAAATCAGGCTGCAAGAAGGCATCGAAGGAAAAGGAGTCGTTCCAGAAAATCCAAGAGACGCTATTATTCTACGACAAGGCAGGGTACGTCCCTGTGGTTACACCAACAGGAAGCTGAGGGGGAATCCAATCTTTGGGCTTCAATCGTGTCAAAGGACATTTGTGGCCTTGTCCTTGAAGGATGAACAGATATGAGCACATTTGCAAGTGGAAGGGCAAGGTTCTAATTATGTGCAACAATTTGCAGTTGCTGCAAGCGTGAGATGAATAAAGCAGGTTCCTGAGGCAGAAGGAGGTGGTGGGCACAACAAGAGGACAGGTCTGCTCACTTTCCACCTGTCCACACACTCCTCTCTAACCCAGTGCAGTATGGCTTCTTCTTAGTCTACTCCAATGAAAATAGTGCCATCAAGGTCGCCATGTTTGTGGCACTTTGACATCAATTCCTCAACAGCATGTGACACAGTTGTTTACGCCCTCCTGCACGGAAAACTTCTTGGGTCCCCAGACACCTGGATTTCTTACTCTGTTACTAAGGGCTCATTTTCCTTCTCCTTTTTTGTTTTTCTCCTCTTCCTTCCCACCTCTAAATATTTCAGGGCACCAAAACTTGATCCTAGCCTCTCTTCTCTTCAATATCCTATCTCCGTAGGTGATGTCATGCTGTCTTAGAATTTTAAATGATTCACACTTCAAGAACTGTCACCATTAAACTTCTAGGCTACGACTTGCTCCTGAAATCCAAACTCATAAACAACTACACGTGTTGTATCTCTATAGGGTGTCTAATAGGCATCTGCATTTGAACCAGCTCTGCAAGTTCAAATTTCTGACCTCCCTCTCTCCAAAAACACTTTACTTGCAGCCTTCACTGTTTCAGATAAAGACACTGTCCATTAGGTGAAACATCCACAAAGGTGTAACAAGCAGCTGATCACAGGTATGGGGGATTCAGAAGTGCTGGTTTTAGAGTTTTCAGCTGTCCACGGTACAAATAATCCCACCATGGCCTAGTTCAAGCTGTCGACATAAGGTCACTGAACCAGAATCAGGAAGAGTTGGCAGCATTCCGCTCCCGTAGTCGGTTGCCTAACCCCTCCTGCACATCCCTGGTATATTTTACTTAGTAGGTCACCCCAAAATACTTAAAGTGACTTATGATTTCTCTTAAGATTCTTTTATTATTCTCTCATTTCCAATCTCTTATCGAGTTCAGCAGTCAATGCCCAGTATAAACCCTGCATCCCACCATTTCCCTCTATCCCTCCAGTGGACACTGCCGTGATCACTGACCAAGGTAGTACAACATCTTCTTAGCTCTGTTTCTAATCTTCCCTCATCTGTAGCATACTCTCTAACCCTGTGGCTAGAAAATTATGTCAGCATGCCATTTCGCTCCTAAAACCCCATCCTCAACTCTCCCTCTCCTAACAAGGGTCCCATCCATTTCCTCCTGGCTCTCGTTGCCTCTGTCTAACACCCTGTAGTGCCCGGTCCATTCCCACTCCAGCCCCTACCCTTGGCCTCACCGCAGTCTGGAACTCTCCCTCTGCCTCTGCACAGGAGGCTCTGCTTTTTCCTTCAAGCCCTGTCCAATGGCACTTCTTCAGATTGCTCTGCCCAAGGAGCCAGAGCCCCTGAGGCTCCCTCTGCTGCTGTCTCCCTCAGGCCTGTGGACTACTTCCCAGACACCAGCCCAATGCTGCTTGTTTCATTTCCTCATTGTGTATGTCCTGTGTGACTGCCCCATGGGGATATGAGTCCCACAAATGCAGGGACCGTTGCTCTCTGTCCCCTTTACTGCTGATCCCCAGCTCCTGGCATGCCGCCTGCCACAGACAATGAATAAATGAAAGAGGTGACAGACCTGGAGTAAAAAGAATGTTACTTTTCCAGACAAAAGGGGAGGATCTGTAGAATCACGTAAAAACTAGGGATGTGTGATGATGGAGTGGAGATAAGAGTGTTCAACTCCAATAGCCACCTCTATTTTCTCAGAATATTTGAGGTAGAAAGGAGGCAATTTAACAAGGCCTCACTTAGTCTGGCTTTCCTGCTGCGCACAGCATGGCATGTATAGGTGAAGTATAAAAGCGATATCAAGTGAGAATTGTAAAGGGCAGCAGCAGGATGATACAATATGATGAGTGCAAGAAATCTGTGAATGTTTATTCTACTGTCGTACTTACTACATACCATCGTTATGCCAAGAGATACATACGTAGTTTTATTGTGTAATCTGACCTGATACAAGCTTCCATGTGGTAAGTCCTTCTGTTTCATGAAATGAATAATTCCATAGAAACTGATTCAAACATAGCTGTCTCTCCGGGATGATGGGACAAAACACACCTATCTTGTAACTGAGCCTCTTCATTTGGTTTCCAGATGCTAGCGTCACTCACAATGTCTGTGAAGAAAAGGTTAAAAATGGCCAACCAACACCCGATAATGTCCTTCCAACTGTTCCATCAGCGCTTATTAATATGACAGCAGCTGGTATTTCATCCCTGGGTTTCGGCGATCAGTGTAAGTTTTTTCACTTGTTATACTGTCCTATTTGGTTTCCATATACATGCATAGCGTCATGATGGAAGATGGTAATTTTGTTGTATTATCTTTTCTGGCCTCAATTTTAGGGTTCTGAGATTGCTAACTGGTATGTCCTCCTTCTTTATGAGATAATTTCCTAGAAACTGAGCATCTGAGGTGTATGCCTGTGCAGTTGACATAATGCACATTACACACAGCTCAACCACTTCATTTGGTTTCCAGATGCTGCGGTGACTCATAACGTCCATGAAGAGAAGATGAATAACGGCCAACCAGCACCTCATACCGTCTTTTCAACTGCTCCACCAGGTCTTGGTAATTTGGCAGCCCCTAGAATTTCATCCACGAGGACCAGAGATCTGTGTATCTCTGCTTCTTAATTGTACTATCCTACCTGATTTCCATAAGCAGGCATATTTTCATGAACGGTAGAAGGTCGTTTTGTTTCATATTCTTTCCTAGCCTCCATTTGGGGGATATCAGATGGACACATGGCATATTCTCTCCTGATTTTTTAGATAATTTTCTAGAAACTGAGCATCAGAGGGATATTCCTGTGGGGTTGACATAATGCACTTACTTCAGAGCTCAACCTCTTCACTTGGTTTCCACCTACTACCGTCAATCACAATATCCGTGAAGAAAGGATGGAAAATGGTTAACTGCAACCAGATAGTGTCTTGTCAAATGTTCTGTCACAGCTTATTTATATGCCAGGAGCTGGTATTCTAGTGATGAGTACCAGAGATGTGTGTATGTTTGTTTATTAGATGTAGTATCCTACTAGGATTCCATATGCATGCGTAATGTCATGAAGAGAAGAAGGTGGTTTTGGGGAATTATCTTTCCCGAACTCAATTTGATGGAACTCGAATCATTATATGATGTCTGCCCCTGTTTTATCAGATAATTTCCTAGAAAGTGAAGATCAGAGGGATATACCAGTGAGGTTGTCATAATGCACTTACCTCACAGCTCAACCTCTTTGTTTGGTTTTCAGATGCTACTGTCACTCAAAATGTCCATGAACAGAAGATGGAAAATGGCCAACCCCAAACTGATAAAGTCTTGTCAACTGTTCCACTATGCCTTGGTCATATGACTGCAACTGGTATTCCATCCATGAGTATCAGGGATCTGTGTATGTCTTTTAATTAGTAGTACTGAATAGTTGGTTTCCCTAACATGCATATGTTCATGAATGGTAGAAGTCGGATTTGTTGTATTTTCTTTCCTACTCTCAATTTGAGGGGTCTCAGATGGCCGCATATCTTCCTTCCTTCCTTCCTTCCTTCCTTCCTTCCTTCCTTCCTTCCTTCCTTCCTTCCTTCCTTCCTTCTTTCCTTCCTTCCTTCCTTCCTCTCATTATCTCACTTTTTTTATTTCTCTCTCTCTCTCTCTTTTTTTTTTCTTTCAAAACTGATTCTCACTCTGTCGCCCAGACTGGAGCGCAGTGATGCTATCTCGGTCGCTGCAATCTCCACCTCCCGGGTTCAAGTGATTCTCCTGCCTCAGCCTCCTGAGTAGCTGGGATAACAGGCATGCACCACCACGCCCAGATAATATTTGCATTTTTGGTAGAGACAGGTTTCACCGTGTCGGACAGGATGGTCTTGATCTCTTGACCTCGAGATCCACCTGCTTCAGCCTTCCAAAGTGCTGGGATTACAGACGTGAGCCACCGTGCCCAGCCATATCCTACCCTGTTTCTTATATAATTTCGTAGAAACTGAGCATCAGAGGGATACAACTGTGGGACTGACATAATGCATTTACATCACAGCTCAACCTTTTCCTTTGGTTTCCAGATTCTACTGTTACTCAGAATGTCTGTGAAGAGAGAATGAAAACTGGTCAGCCCCAACCTGGTAACGTCTTGTCAACTGATTCCACAGGGCTTTGTAATATGGTAGCAACTGCTATTCCGGCCATGAGTCCCAGAGATCGCTATATGTCCGCTTATAAGTTGTACTGTCCTACTTGCTTTTCATAAGCATGCATAGTGCCTTCTGAAGGGAAGCAGGTGGTTTTGTTGTATTATATTTTCTGAACTAAATCTGAGGGGCCCCAGATATATACACCACCTTATATATCCTCCTGCTTTATGAAATAATTTCATGGAAAGTGAGCATCAGAGGGATATACTTATGATTTGGCCTAATGCACTTACCTCACAGCTCAACCTCTTCCTTTGATTTCCAGACGCTACCATCACTCACAGCGTCCATGAACAGAAGATGGAATATGTCCAACCAGCACCTGACAACGTGTTGTTGACACTTCAGCCAGGACTTATTAATATGGCAGCCACTGGTATTTCATCCATGAGTACCAGGGATCTGGGTAAGTTTGTTTGTTAGTATTACTGTCCTACTTGGTTTCCATATGCATGTATAGTGTCAAAACCGGTAGGAGGTGGTTGTGTTATACTATGTTTCCAGGCCTCAATTTCAGGGGTCTCAGATGGCAACCTGGTATATCCTCTGCTTTGTGACATAATTTCCTAGAAACTGAGCACAGATATACCTGTGGAGTTACCATAATACACTTACAGCTCTTCATTTGGTTTCCAGGTGCTACCAAAACTTATAATGTCCTTAAGGAGAAGATGGAAAAGGGCGAACCCCAACATGGCAACATCTCATCAACTGCTTTAATAGGACTTACTAATGTGGCAGGAGCTGCTATTCCAGCCATGAGTACTGATGGTCTGTGTATGTTCACTTTTAGTTGGATTTCCTACTTTGTTTCCATATGCATGTATATTGTCAGGAAGGAGAGATGGAGATCTTGTTGTATTATCTTTCTTGATATCAGTTTGAGGGGTCCCAGATGCCGCTCATGTCATCTTGATTTGTGCAAAAATTTCTCAGGAGCTGAGCATCAGAGGGATATACCTGTGGGGGCGGCATAATGCACCTACTCCTATCTTGACCTCTTCATTTGTCTTCCAGATGCCACCGTCAGTCACAATGTCCATGAACAGAGGACGGAAAATGACCAACCGCAACAGGAAAACGTCTGGCCAAATATTCTCGCATGGTTTTTTAATATGGCAGGAGCTGGTATTCCAGCAATGAGTACCAGGGATCTGTGTATGTTCATTTTTTACTTGTACTGTCCTCCTTGGTTTCCATATGCAGGCATAGTGCCATGAAGGGAAGAAGGTTGTTTTGTGAATTGTCTTTCTTGGCCTCAATTTGAGGAGCTGCAGATCATCATTTGATGTGTTCTTTTGCTTTTTGGGATAATTTCCCAGAAACTGATCATCAGTGGGATATACCGGTGGCATTGACGTAATTCACTTACTTCAAGCTCAAAATCTTCCTTTGGTTTCCAGATGGTACCATCTCTCACAATGTACATGAAGAGAAGATGGAAAATGGCCCATCCCAAACTGGTAATCTCATGTCACCTGTTCCACCACTGCTTGGTCTTATGGTAGCAGCTGCTCTTCCATGCATGAGTACCAGGGATCTGTGTATGTCTCTTAATTAGTTGTAGTGTCATCACTGGTTTCCATATGATTGCATATTTCATGAAAGGTAGAAGGTGGTTTTATAGCATATACTTTGGTGGGATCAATTGGAGGGTTCTCACAGGGCCACCTGGCATATCCTCCCCTGCTTTATTAGATAATTTCCTGAAAACTGAGCGTCAGAGAGATAGACCTCTCTGGGGTCTATATAGGGCTGATATAATGCACTTACTCACAGCTGAAACTCTTCATGTGGTTTGCAGGTTTTACCATTGCTCAAAGTGTCTGTGAAGAAAAGATGAAAAGTGACAAAACAACACCTCATGAATTCTTGTCAACTATTACAGCAGGGCTTAGGAATTTCACAGAAGCAGGTATTCAACTGCCGAGTACCAGGGATTTCTGCATGTTTGTTTACTAACTACGTTGTGCTACTTGGTTTCCATAAACGTGCAGTATCATGCAGGGAGAAAGGTGCTTTGGTTGTATTATCTTTTCCGACCTAAACTTGAAGGGTCTCAGATCGCCACCTGATACAGCCTCTTGTGTGATGGAACAATTTCTTAAATCTCATTGTCAGAAGGACATACATGTGGCAGTGACATAAGCACTTACCTCACAGCTCAACCACTTCATTCCGTTTCCAGATGCTGCAGTCACTCACAATATCCCTGAAGCAAAGGTAAATAACGGCCAACTAGCACCTCACAACATCTTGTCAGCTACTCCACCAGGTCTTGGTAATATGGCGGCAGCTGGAATTTCATCCACGAGGACCAGAGGTCTGTGTATGTCTGCTTCTTAGTTGTACTGTCCTACTTGGTTTCCCTAAGGAGGCATAGTCTGATGAATGCTACAAGTTAATTCTGTTGTATGTACTTTCCTAGCCTCAATTTGAGGGATATCAGATGTCCACTTGGCATATTCACCCCAAGATTCTTTGACAATTTCCTAGAAAGTGAGGATCAGAGTGATTTACCTCTGGGTTTGAATAATGTATTTACCTCACAGCTCAACCTCTTCATTTGGTTTTCAGGTGCTACCATCACTCAAAATGTCCACAAAGAGAAGATGAGAAATACGCAACCAACACCTAATAACGTCTTGTCAACTGTTCTACCAGAACATTCTTATTTGGCAACAGCTGGTCTCCCAGCCATGAGCACCAGGGGTCAGTGTATGTTTGCTTATTCATTTATACTATCCTACTTCGTTTTCATAGGCATGCCTACTGTCCTGAATGGGAGAAGGTGATTTTGCTGTATTCTCATTCATGAGCTGCATTTGAATGTTCTCAGATCACCATCTAGCATATCCTGTTCAGCTTTATGAAATAGTTTTCTACAAACTGAGTATCAGGAGGATATGCCTGTAGAGTTGACATAGTACACATAACTCAAAACTGAACTTCCTGATATCATTTCCAGATTCTACCATCACTCACAATGTCCGTGAGGAGAAGATTAAAAATGCCCAAACGGCAGCCAATAATGTCTTCTCAGGTATTCCACCAGCACGTATTAATATGGCAGCAGCTGGTGTTTCTTCTATGAGTACCAGGGATCAGTGTAAGTTTGCTCACTTGGCGTACTGTCCTACTTGTTTTCTATATGCATGCGTAGTGTCATGAGGGAAGAACACAGTGTTGTTGTACTATCTTCACTGGCCTCAACTTTACGGTTCTCAGACTGCTACTTGCTATGTCCTTCTTTTTTATGAGATAATTTCCTCGATACTGAGCATCCGAGGGGTATGCCTGTGCGGTTGACATAATGCATGAATCACACAGCTCAACCACTTCATTTGGTTTCCAGATGCTGCAGTCACTCACAAAATCCTTGAAGAGAAGATAAATAACGGCCAATCAGCACCTGATAACCTCTTGTCAACTGCTCCACCAGGTCTTGGTAATATGGCAGCAGCTGGACTTTCTTCTATGAGGACCAGAGATCTGTGTATGTCTGCTTCTTAGTTGTACCGTCCTACTTGGTTTCCCTAAGGAGGCATTGTTTGATGAATGCTACAAGTTAATTTTGTTGGATATGGTTTCCTAGCATCAATTTGAGGGGTATCAGAGAGCCACGTGGCATATCAACCCATGGATTCTTTGATAATTTCCTAGAAAGTGAGGATCAGAGGGATATACATCTGGGGTTGACACACTGCACTTCCATCACAGCTCAGCCTCTTCATTTGGTTTTCAGATGCTACCAGCATTCAAAATGTCTGCAAAGAGAAGATGGAAAATAACCAACCAACACCTAATAATATCTTGTCAACTGTTCTTCAAGGACTTCCTTATTTGGCAACAGCTGGTCTCCCAGCCATGAGCACCAGGGATCAGTGTATGTTTGCTTATTCATTTGGACTATCCTGCCTGGTTTACATAGGCATGCCTAGTGTCCTGAATGGGAGAGGGTGATTTTGTTGTATTGTCTTTCGTGAGCTGCATTTGAGTGTTCTCAGATCGCCACCTGGCATATCCTCTCTGGCTTTCTGAAATAGTTTTCTATAAAGTGAGCATCAGGAGGATATACCTGTGGGTTAACATAATGCACGTAACTCAGAACTGAACCCCTTCATTTAATTTCCAGATGGTATGATGTCTCACAATGTCTGTGAGAAGATTAAAAATGCCCAAGCAGTACCCGATAAAACCTTCCCAGCTAGTTCCCCAGCACTTATTAATATGGCAGCAGCTGTTGTGTCATCCATGAGCAACAGAGATCAGTGTACCTGTGTGCAATTGGTTTACTATCCTACTAGGTTTCCATATGCGTGCATAGTGTCATGAGGGAAGAATGTAGTTTTGTTGTACTATCTTTCCTGGCCTTAATCTTAAGGTTCTCAGAGTGCTACTTGGTATGCCCTTCTTCTTTATGAGATAGTTTCCTGGATACTGAGCATCAGAGGGGTATGCTGTTGTTGACATAATGCACTTACCTCACAGCCCAGCCATTTCTGTTCGTTTCCAGATGCTGCAGTCACTCACAATGTCCGTGAAGCCAAGATAAATAACGGCCAACTAGCACCTGACAACGTCTTGTCAGCTGCTCCACCAGGTCTTGGTAATATGGCAGCAGCTGGAATTTCATCCACGTGGACCACAGGTCTGTGTCGGTCCTGCTGCTTTGTCTTACCACCCTACTTGATTTCCCTATGGAGACATAGATCGATGAATGCTACAAGTAAATTTTGTTGTATACACCTTCCTAGCATCAATTTGAGGGGTAACAGATAGTCCCAGGACATATCCAAAACTCCGGTCTTTGATAATTTCCGAGAAACTGAGGATGAGAGGGATATACATCTAGGGTTGACATAATGTACTTACCTTACAAGCTCAACCTCTTCATTTGGGTTTCAGATGCTACCATCACTCAAAATGTCCGCAAAGAGAAGATGGAAAATAACCAACCAACACCTAATAATGTCTTGTCAACTGTTCTCCAAGGACTTCCTTATTTGGCAACAGCTGGTCTCCCAGCCATGAGCACCAGGGATCAGTGTATGTTTGCTTATTCATTTGGACTATCCTGCCTGGTTTTCATAGGCATGCCTAGTGTCCTGAATGGGAGAAGGTGATTTTGTTGTATTATATTCTGTGAGCTGCATTTGAGTGTTCTCAGATCGCCACCCTGGCGTATCCTCTTCAGCTTTATGAAATAGTTTTCTAGAAACTGAGTATCAGGAGGATATGCCTGTAGATTTGACGTAGTACACATAACTCAAAACTGAACCTCCTGATTTCATTTCCAAATTCTACCATCACTCACAATGTTTGTGAGGAGAAGATTAAAAATGCACAAACAGCACCCAATATGGTTTCTCAGCTATTCCACCAGCACGTATTAATATGGCAGCAGTGGGTGTTTCGTCCATGGGTACCAGGGATCAGTGTAAGTTAGCTCACTTGGCGTACTGTCCTACTTGATTTCTATATGCATGCGTAGTGTCATGAGGGAAGAATACAGTGTTGTTGTACTATCTTTATTGGCCTCAAATTTACGGTTCTCAGACTGCTACTTAGTATGTCCTTCTTCTTTATGAGATAATTTCCTCGATACTGAACATCAGAGGGGTATGCCTGTGCGGTTGCCATAATGCACATAACGCACAGCTCAACCACTTCATTTGGTTTCCAGATGCTGGCGGTTACTCACAACGTCCGTGAAGCGAAGATAAATATGGTCAAGGTACCACCTATACATCTTGTCAACTGCTCCACCAGGGCTTGGTAATTTGGCAGCTGCTGGAATTTCATTCCACGAGGAGCAGAGATCTATGTATGTCTGCTTCTTAGTTGGACTGTCCTACGTGGTTTCCCTAAGGAGGCATTGATTGATGAAGGCTGCAAATTAATTTTCTTGAATATAGTTCCTAGCATCAATTTGTGGGTAATGGAGATAGCCACGTCGCCATATCCTAACCTGGTTTCCTTGATAATTTCCTAGAAACTGAATATGAGAGGAATATAAATTCTGGGGTTGACATAATGTACTTACCTTACAGCTCAACCTCTTCATTCGGTTTTCAGATGCTACCATCACTCAAAATGTCCTCAAAGATAAGATGGAAAATAACCAACCAACACCTAATAATGTATTGTCACTGTTCTCCAAGGACTTCCTTATTGGCAACGGCTGGTCTCCCAGCCATGAGCACCAGGGATCAGTGTATGTTTGCTTATTCATTTGGACTATGCTACTTGGTTTTCATAGGCATCCTAGTGTCCTGAAACGGGAGAAGGTGATTTTGTTGTATTATATTCTGTGACCTGCATTTGAGTGTTCTCAGATCGCCACCTGGCGTATCCTCTTCAGCTTTATGAAATAGTTTTCTAGAAACTGAGTATCAGGAGGATATACCTGTAGAGTTGACATAGTACACATAACTCAAAACTGAACATCCTGATTTCATTTCCAGATTCTACAATCACTCACAATGTCTGTGAGGAGAAGATTAAAAATGCGCAAACGGCACCCAGTAAGGTTTCCTCAGCTATTCCACCAGCACATATTAATATGGCAGCAGCGGGTGTTTCGTCCATGAGTACCAGGGATCAGTGTAAGTTAGCTCCCTTGGCGTACTGTCCTACTTGATTTCTATATGCATGTGTAGTGTCATGAGGGAAGAATACAGTGTTGTTGTACTATCTTTACTGGCCTCAACTTTACGGTTCTCAGACTGCTACTTGGTATGTCCTTCTTTATCAGTTAATTTCCTCGATACTGAATATCAGAGGCGTATGCCTGTGCGGTTGACATAATGCATGAAACACACAGCTCAACCACTTCATTTGGTTTCCAGATGCTGCGATCACTCACAACGTCTATGAAGCAAAGATAAATAATGGCCAACTAGCACCTGATAGCATATTGTCAACTGCTCCACCAGGGCTTGGTAATATGGCAGCAGCTGGAATTTCATCCACGAGGACCAGAGATCTATGTATGTCTGCTTCTTAGTTGAACCATCGTACTTGGATTCCCTAAGGAGGCATTGTTTGATGAATGCTACAAGTTAATCTTGTTGTATATAGTTTCCTAGCATCAATTTGAGGTTATCAGAGAGCCACGTGGCATATCCTACCCTGTTTCTTTGATAATTTCCTAGAAACTGAGGATCAGAGGATATAACTCTGGGGTGGACATAATGTACTTACCTTACAGCTCAACCTCTTCATTGGTTTTCAGATGCTACCATCATTCAAAATGTCTGCAAAGAGAAGATGGAAAATAACCAACCAACACTTAATAAAGTCTTGTCATCTGTTCTCCAGGACTTCCTTATTTGCCAACAGCTGGTCTCCCAGTCATGAGCACCAGGGATCAGTGGTATGTTTGCTTATTCATTTGGACTATCCTACTTGGTTTTCATAGGCATGCTTAGTGTCCTGAATGGGAGAAAGGTGATTTTGTTGTATTGTCCTTTCGTGAGCTGCATTTGAGTGTTCTCAGATTGCCATCTGGCATATCCTCTCTGGCTTTATGAAATAGTTTCTAGAAAGTGAGCATTAGGAGGATATACCTGTGGGGTTAACATAATGCACATACCTCAACACTGAACCCCTTCTTTCATTTCCAAATGCTACGATCACTCACAGTGTCTGTGAGAAGAAGATTAAAAATGCCCAAGCAGTACCCGATAAAATCTTCCCAGCTAGTCCCTAGCACTTATTAATATGGCAGCAGCTGTTGTGTCATCCATGAGCAACAGGGATCAGTGTACCTGTGTGCAACTGGTTTACTATCCTACTAGGTTTCCATAGGCGTGCCATAGTGCATGAGGGAAGAATGTAGTTTTATTGTACTATCTTTCCTTGCCTCATCTTAAGGTCCTCAGACTGCTATTGGTATGTCCTTCTTTATGAGATAATTTTCTGGATACTGAGCATCAGAGGGGTATGCTGTGGTTGACATATGCACTTACCTCACAGCCCAGCCATTTCTGTTGGGTTCAGATGCTGCCGTCACTCACAATTGTCCGTGAAGCGAAGATAAATAACGGCCAACTAGCACCTGACAACGTCTTGTCAGCTGCTCCACCAGGTCTTGGTAATGTGGCAGCGGGCTGAATGTCATCCACGAGAACCACAGGTCTGTGTAGATCTGCTTCTTAGTTGTACTGTCTGACTTGATTTCCCTAAGAGATGCATAGATCGATGTATGCTACAGGTTAATTTTGTCATACACATGTTCCTAGCGTCAATTTGAGGGGTATCAGATAGCCACATGGCATATGCAACCCTGCTGTCTTTGATAATTTCCTAGAAACTGAGGATCAGACGGACATACCTCTGTGGTTGACATAATGTACTTACCTCACAGCTCAACCTCATCGTTTGGTTTTCAGATGCTACCGTCACTCAAATGTCCAGCAAAGAGAAGATGGAAAAATAACCAACCAACACTTATAACATCTTGTCAACTGTTCTCCAAGGAACTTCCTTATTTGGCAACAGCTGGTCTCCCAGCGATGAGCACCAGGGATCAGTGTATGTTTGCTTATTCATTTGGACTATCCTACTTAGTTTTCATAGGCATGCCTAGTGTCCTGAATGGGAGAAGGTGATTTTATAGTATTATCTTCAGTGAGCTGCATTTGAGTGTTCTCAGATCGCCATCTGGCATATCCTCTTCAGCCTTTTGAATCGTTTTCTAGAAACTGAGTATCAGGAGGATGTACCTGTAGAGTTGACATAGTACACATCACGCAAGACTGAAACCTCCTGATTTCATTTCCAGATTCTACCATCACTCACAATGTCCATGAGGAGAAGATTAAAAATGCCAAGCATACCCGATAAAAGCTTCCAGCTAGTTCCCCAGCACTTTTAATATGGCAGCAGCTGTTGTGTCATCCATGAGCAACCAGGGATCAGTGTACCTTGTGCAATTGGGTTACAATTCTACTAGGTTTCCATATGCGTGCATAGTGTCATGAGGGAAGAATGTAGTTTTTTTTGTACTATCTTTTCTTTTTTTTAAAATTTTTATTGGTTTTTAGTTTTGGGGTACATGAGCAGAGCATGGAAGACAGTTGCGTAGGAACACACCATGGCAGTAGGAAACACCATGGCAGTGTGCTTTCTTTCCTTCTCCCTTCACCCACATTTGGCATTTCTCCGCAGGCTATCCCTCCCCACCTCCCCCTCCCACTGGCCCCGCTCCTTGTCCTCCCAATAGACCCCGTGTTTAGTACTCCCCTTTCTGTGTCCATGTGTTCTCATTTTCATCACCCCCCTATGAGTGAGAATATGTGGTGTTTCATTTTCTGTTCTTGTGTCAGTTTGCTGAGGATGACGTTCCCCAGATTCATTCATGTACCTACAAATGATACAAACTCATCATTTCTGTTTGCTGCATAATATTCCACGGTGTATATGTGCCACATTTTTCCAATCCAGTCTATTATCAATGGGCATTTTGGTTGATTCCAGGTCTTTGCTATTGTAAACAGTGCTGCAATGAACATTCGTGTACATGTGTCCTTATAGTAGAACGATTTATAGTCTTTTGGATATATACCCAGTAATGGGATTGCTGGTTCAAATGGAATTTCGATTTCTAAGACCTTGAGGAATCGCCACAACGTCTTCCACAATGGTTGAACTAATTTACACTCCCACCAACAGTGTAAAAGTGTTCCTTTTTCTCCACATCCTCTCCAGCATCTGTTGTCTCCAGATTTTTTAATGATCGCCATTCTAACTGGCGTGAGATGGTATCTCAATGTGGTTTTGATTTGCATCTCTCTGATGACCACAGTGACGATGAGCATTTTTTCATATGATTGTTGGCCTCATATATGTCTTCTTTCGTAAAGTGTCTGTTCATATCCTTTGCCCACTTTTGAATGGGCTTGTTTGTTTTTTTCCTGTAAATCCGTTTGAGTTCTTTGTAAATTCTGGATATCAGCCCTTTGTCAGATGGTAGACTGCGAAAAATATTTTCCATTCTGTTGGTTGCCGATCCACTCTAGTGACTGTTTCTTTTGCCGTGCAGAAGCTGTGGAGTTTCATTAGGTCCCATTTGTCTATTTGTCTTTTGGTTGCCCATGCTTTTGGTGTTTTGTTCATAAAGTCCTTGCCTACTCCTATGTCCTGGATAGTTTTGCCTCGTGGCCTCAATCCTAAGCTTCTCAGACTGCTACTTGGTATGTCCTTCTTCGTTATGAGATAATGTCCTAGATACTGAGCATCAAGAGGGATATGCCTGTGACGTTTCACAGGATGCCACTTACCTCACAGCCCAGCCATTTCTGTTGGTTTCCAGATGCTGCAGTCACTCACAATATCCTGAAGTAAAGAGAAATAACATCAACTAGCACCTGACAACGTGTTGCCAGCTGCTCCACCAGGTCTTGGTAATATGGCAGCAGCTGGAATTTCATCTAGGAGGACCGGAGGTCTGGTATATCTGCTTCTTAGTTGTACTGTCCTACTTGATTTCCCTAAGGAGGCATAGTTTGAATGAATGCTACAAGTTAATTTTGTTCGATATATTTCCTAGCATTAATTGAGGGGTAGCAGATAGCCACGTGGCATGTACTATACCCTGATTTCTTTGATAGTTTCTAGAAACTGAGGATCAGAGGATATACCTGTGCGGTTGACATAATGCACTTTCATCACAGCTCAACCTCTTCATTGGTTTTCAGATGCTACCATCACTCAAAATGTCCACAAAGAGAACATGGAAAACAAGCAACCAACACCTAAATACGTCTTGTCAACTGTTCTCCAAGGACCTCCTTATTTGGCAACAGCTGGTCTCCCAGCCATGAGCACCAGGGATCAGTGTATGTTTGCTTATTCATTTGGACTATCCTACTTGGTTTTCATAGGCATGCCTAGTGTCCTGAAAGGGAGAAGGTGATTTTGTGGTATTATATTTCGTGAGCACATTTGAGTGTTCTCAGATGCCCATCTGGCATATTGTCTCTGGCTTTTGAAATAGTTTCCTAGAAACTGATCATCAGGGGGATACACCTGTGGGCTGACATAATGCGCTTAACTCAAAACTTAACGTCTTCATTGTCTTCCAGATTCTACCATCACTCACAAACTCCATGGGGAGATGATTAAAAGTGCTGAAGCAGAACCCAATAATATCTTCTCACTATTCCCCCAGCACTTATTAATAGGGGAGCAACTGGTTTTTCATCCATGAGTACCAGGGATCAGTGTAGGTTTCTTCACGTCGGTAAGTGTCCTACTTCGTTTCTATATGCATGCACAGTGTAGCAGGAGGAAAGAATCTAGTGTTGTTTGCCTATCTTTCCTGGCCTCAATTTTAGGGTTCTCAGATTGCTACCTGCTATATCCTTTCTCCAAGTATGATAATTTCCTAGATGCTGAGCATTTGAGGGTATACCTGTGTGGTTTCCATAATGCAAGTAACTCACAGCTCAACCATTTCATTTGGTTTCCAGATGCTGCAGTCACGCACAGCGTCCGTAAGAGAAGAGAATAACAGCCAACCGGTAACTGATAACATCTTGTCAACTGCTCCACCAGGGCTTGGTAATATGGCAGCAGCTGGAATTTCATCCAGGAGGACCAGAGATCTGTGTATGTCGGCTTCTTAGTTGTGCTGTCCTACTCGCTTTCCCTAAGCAGGCATAATTTCATGGATGGTAGAGGGTAATTTTGTTGTATATACTTTCCTGCCTCAATATGAAGGGTATCAGAGGGCAACTTGTCATATCCACCCCTTCTCTCTTTGATAATTTCCTAGAAAGTCAGCATCAGAGGGATGTACCTGTGGGGTTGAAATAATGCACTTACCTCACAGCTCAACCTCTTCATTTGGTTTTCAGATGCTATAGTCAATCTCAATGTCCATGAGGAGAGGATGGAAAATGGCAAATCCGCAACCGCATAATATATAGTCAAATGTTCCTTCAGGGCTTACTCGTATGGCAGGAGCTGCTCTTCTGGCCACGAG